ATGAACTCAACCACTCGGTCACGAGGCCGGCGCCCTCTATTGTCTTTTATTATTAGCAATGATACGTTTACATTTTTTAGTTTTTCAAATCTATTCAAATTTCATCTACATTTTTCTTGGAGTGTCATGACTTCCACTGCTTAAGTATACAGAAATACTTTCTCATGTTTACTTTCAGTATTTTCGTTTTATGTTTTTTACTGTTTTACTCTTTACCCCATATAGAATTGTTCTGCATGAAGGAGACAGGAGACTTCTAGACTGCCGGGATTCACAGTCTCTTTTGTTCCATCCTTGTGTCTGTTTGTAGAGCATCAGGGGCTCATCTGCCCAGTCCACAGTTTCTCAACATTGACACTACTTCGATGTCGACAAGACAGTACTCTGTCGAGGGGACTGTTCTGTGAATCGCAGGGTCCCTAGATGTCTGTGGCAGTGTTCCCCGCCTGCCAGTCATGACAGCCTGAAATGCCTCCAGATGCAGCCAAATGTTCCCTGAGAGGCAAAATCACCCCTCTGACAACTAACTGGTCAGTTCTTATGGTGGCAACAGACCATTAAATTATGACAACTCATTAACTTTTGGATTTGGTGCATCTGGTGAAACTTGTTCTTCATCATTCTTTATTCGCAGTATTTTCCTGGATACCCTTTGGACTTATTTTCAGAGATATACTTTAGGATTACTGTATTTTGAGACAGAAAAACAGATCCTAATGCAAATTTGAATGGAATTGTCTTTAAAATGTTGGTGTGTGTAGAGGGAGCTGCATCTTTGACTTGAGGAGTCCTCCATGCACCAAAGTTGATTATGTTTCCATGGAGGGGATGCCTCTGTCACCTCACCAGGACGTAGGCTTGTCTGCACGTAGCCCTCACACATGGCATTGGCCCTAAACCTCCACATTTCATATATATGATGCAGGACATGTGATTGTAATGAAATCCTCTGTGTTGTTATATATTATGTCTGTATTTACACAATGTTCAGCAAATTGACTCCTTCATTAGTTGTAGTAATTTTCGACTTATTTTATCTTTAGCTTGTCAAATAAACAGTGTTCTCATCACCAATAACAATATTTGCTTCGTCCGTCTTATTCATCAGATGGATCACTGTGTTTTCTGAGGTGAAGTTATAGAGGAAATTGATGATGAACTCTTGGAGTGAGAAGAAACATCTTTGGTTCTTGTTTGGATTGGTTCCTTCTTTCGATGGGCTGCCTCTCACACAGCAGTTTCTCTTCATGCTCTGCTCACAAACATCTTCTATGAGTACTAAGCTGGCCTGGGTGTCATTGTGCCTGGGGGTGACCACGGGATTTTAGCACGAAAAGGTCACTAGAAATACTGTGGCACCCTCTTCAGATTTCAACCAAGGGCAAGGGCAATCAGTTCCATAGTGGGGATTTGAATAAGGCCTGCGGGGAAGAACAGAGTTATTTGTGATTCACATAGAGGAATCAGTCCTAGTCAATGAACCACTTGTCCTAATTTCATAATAAGAGGTGAAGTGTGCTTGGTGGCAAAGCTTGGTCTGAGTCAGGCAGCCTGGTGATGAATCGAGCACCCTGCTGACTGCCTGTGTAAAGTCACACCCATCACTCAGCTCCCCTAACTCTCTGTTTCCTCTCTTATCAAATAGGATCATGTTAATGCTTCCCTGTTAGAAGTCTGTGCAGATGAAAAGCAATAAGCCAGTCCCCCTAAGGTGCTGAGTGCCCTGCCTCACACTCAGTAAGCCTCACCAAAGTGCCTTTATTATTAGTGTCAGCACTCCTGTTAGTATTCTCACTGTCATTGTCATCATCATCTTGATAACAACTTAGAAAGCAGAACTTCTCTCCATGGAATTAACATTTTACATTGCAGATGACCCACTGGTTCCTTGACATGTGAGGTTACAACTGGCCTGTGAGACTATGGAGAACTGATGTATTCAGCAGACTCCTGTGATGACTATTCTGATTTCCTCTATGGATAGTTACTATCCCATATTTTGAAATCTTCACTATATAAATGCTGTGACAATTAGTTTTTGGTAATTCAGGCCTTCCTCACCAGATAGAACAATTTGGTTAATCCTTCTTCCCACTGCTACCTCCAACACCATGCCAATATTTCAGCCAGACCATGAAGAAAAAACAGTTTTAAAAGTGGAAACATCTGTCTTGAGGTCGTGCCATTTAAAGGTACTTCATCATTCCCAGCACAAAGAGAATCAGTTGCGCTCTCATTGTCATTCAGAGCTAAGATCGTGTTGGATGGCCACCTTGGGAGTTCTCCAGGTGACATCTGAAACTGGCTCCCATGCATGGGGGGCAAATAGAGAGCAAAGAAAGAAGCAGCTCACTCCAGATTGGCAGATGGCCGTTTGAATAAGCAAGGGAACATATATATGAGCTTGTGTTAGGCGAGGCAAAATGAGCAGATGTCTGCACCTGCCCTCCAGAATCTTAAAAGTTTCTATAGAGGCTTTGACGGGGCTCAGTAATGTCTACCGTCCAGATGATCTCAACAGCACATTCTTCTCTCCAGGCTGCATCATTGAAATGTCTCAGGAACATTGGGAGGAGTGTAGATTCCAAGGACAGGGGAGTAAGAAGCCTCTGACTTACCGAGTCCATCTGGAGTGTCAACCAGTGGTCACATCCTCTCAGTGACCTCCTCCAACAGAGCAGCTTCTGGAATCTTGGGCAGTTCATTCCACTGGGGCCATTTTTCAAGGTCATGGGAAAAATATTTCTCCATACCTACAAAGAACTCCCTGTGCTGCTTCAGTGGAGCTCTTTGTTTGTTGAGAAGACCACCTTGTGGTCATGGGCTTCCCTCAGTGCAGCTGGATGCACCAGCGCTCTAAGTACATTTTGCCCTCATGTTTGCCATGATGGAGACTAACAGGAAGAACGTGCAATTACCAAACACAGCCTTCAGGTATCACATCTCTCGTGCTGAGCACAGTGAGTAAAGGACCTTTGAGAGCACCTGGAGGCGACATCAAGACAGAGCCAGGCTGTCCTTAATGTTACCTGTGAGAAACAGAACAGTTTGTGGATTCATGAGTGCGGGAAGCACATCCTAAGTTTCTGTGCAGATGGGGCCACTACTGGAGCTGTGCAATTCCCACACTGCGATGAAAGTATGGTGGGGAGGGCAGTGATGAAACGTAGTTTCCTCGGCACCATGTTTCTGACAGTCTGAGAGCGGAGCCAGACTCATGCATCTTCCCAGGTGAATGCCCATTCTTAGGATGGTGTGTCCTTAGTTTGAGGTAGAGATGAGGTGTTGGGAGTTAAAACAAACAACAGAGGCATTCCTGAGTTAAGAAATCAGAGTGATTTCCTGGAGACCTCCTTCTAGACTATCATTTTCCAGATAGTTCATAAAGGGAAGATGAGTAACATAAGATGATGGAAATATCTTCTGCATCTCTCAGTGCTTGATGCTGAATATCCACAGAACTTCTCTTCCTACATTGGATGGTGACTGATCGATGATGCTACTGCCCAACTGTGCTTCCCTTGGTATGATAAACCCTGGAGGCAAACTGGGTCCTGCTTCTCTCTCTTCATTGAGATCACTGTGGTTCTTAGGCCCGTCCCCTCAGCATTCTTCCAGGAATGCTTCTCTGTCCCTGAGTGTGGTGGAGTTATGGTTACACTTTGGGTGGACTTGAGAGGGCTGTTTGTCTCAGATGACATCAAAGGTGAGCACTTCCTCAGGGAATTGGGAGAGGAAATGAGCAGAGATGGTATCTGTGCAGACTAAATGGAAAGTATGCCCGTCCACGTGTCCCCAACACTGCTGGAATTAATGGCACTCTGTAGTATCATAATGGAATGATCATCTTGATGAAACTCAGTTTTCCGATGTCTCATTATATTTGGATTAAATGGTGTAACCACAAGGAACAGGTGGATCATGGCCACAGAGAGTGATTTAACCGTTGGTAAGAAAGAGTCTCTGCTTACATTTTTTATAAGACACAAATATTTTAATGTTAGAAACATTTTCTAAGCGTAACTATTCTGAACACCCAGAAGTCAGTTTTCTTCTAAAATGATGTTGTTTTTTTCCCAATGCGCTTATTCTGAATCTCACTGAAGCAATGGAAGGATGCGCACCTACTGCATCCTTGGTACTGTAACTGAACTCAATGGGTTCACCTCTTAGTCAGAGCAGAGCTGAAAACACAAGCAAAGCAAAAGTAGGTGAAGAAATTTTTATTTCTTGCAGAAGCAATAGGGAACACCAGGGCTCTCTGCCAAAGCAGAGTCTCCCCCAACAAGGATTTGAGGGGTCCTTTTATTGTGAGATCATAGTACAGTTCATGGAAGAGGCAGGACATCAGGGTTTATTGCCTACTGTCACTTTCCTTTAAGTCTCATTGGTAGAAGGGACAGATGCTACTACATACATAGTATGATCCAGAAATGGCTCCCTGGTCGCTCCCAGAGGAGGAGAATTGAAAACATTAATGAGTTAATAATGGGGAAAGTTCACTTCAGAGCAGATCGAGGCGGATAGAAGTGGCTTCGGCCAGCTTGCTTGTGGGAACCCTCTGTGTTCAGGCTCTTCCTGTAACTTTCCATCTGCAGACACTCAACAGACAATGTTAGTTTTTAACACATCCTCTGTACCCCTTTCTTGGCCTAGTTTTCTGCTCATCCTATCTGTCTGTGTACCTATTTGGCAAAACTATGTCAGACTCCAGTTGTCAACAAACATCAAAATGGAGAGAGACTAATCATTGCATATAGTGAGGGGACCTCCAGTTGCGTGTGTTTGTAAAGAAGGATCACAGTCCCACGAGTCCCCTCCCCGCACTACCTTTCAATGCAAATGTCCCTGCAGAGGACGAATTCTGTCTGGCATTCTGCTCAGACACCTCAACTCAAGGGCTGTCACTCGGACTCAAGAGGGCGAGTCTTTTGTACTGTCCAATCAGAGGCGGCACCGGGGCTGGTGGGTGGGGCAAAGCTCCCCGTCCGCCCAGAAGTTCCTGCTCCGGCCGCGTTGAGGACCCCGTCTCCCTCGGTTAAGGGCTCCTCGTGGCTCAGCCCCCTGTGGTGTCGAGTTGTGACCTGTAGCGACCGCAGTGTCCTAGGAAGGACTCGGGGGACCCGGGAGCCTTAGAAATGGTGAGAGTTCAGCCCCGGGGGTAGGACGCGGGAGGAGGGGCTGGTGGGAAGCGGCGAGGCGGGCCCGGCCTCCCGCGGTCCCTTCCGGGGTCTGCTGCCCCGAGTACCGCGGTGGCGCCGCTCGGCCCTCAGGCCCCTCCGGCCGCAGCGTGGGGGCGGGGCCGGCAGCCGGGCCCCGGGCGTCCTGTGGTCCCTGGGCGCGGCGACTTGGGCCGGAGCGCCTCTGGGCCGCTGTGCGCCCGCAGCCCCGCGTATCCCAGACGGTGCGGGGCCCGCGGGAGGGCCCGCAGGACAGTCGGGCCTTGGGCTCCGGGCTCCGTGCTCGGAGGGGCTGTGGGGTTCCGAGGGCCTGTTTTCTGCCCAGGGGTCACGCGTTTTCTTCTCAATTTTCCGTACGTTTGAGGAGCAGAGTCTCAAATCCCTGACCCTGTCCCGCGCGTCCAGGTCTTCCCAGGGCTGGGAACAAATGCCTGAATTTCCAGTGTCTCGCCGAATTCCCAAATGTCAACTTCTTGCCTTAGATTCACAGCATTTTCATCAAGTATTTGTCCTTGTTGGAATTGAAACAGATTGAATGTTTTAGTTGCTTATCGTTTTCTCACAGTTACTGGATTCGTGTTTTAAAAAAATTTGTGTGTGTGGATATTTTCCGTGAGTGAAAAGCAGCCTCCCACCGCCTGGAACTACGTTGTATGAAATCCTCCTGCGTCTCCCCAGGATCTTCCTGGGCGCAGACATCCTGTGGGCAGTCCTCTGGGGGCAGGTTCCTCTTCAGAAAATACCCGGGATGATCTGTCCTGTCAGCACTGTCCCCACCTGCGTTAGTCACCTTTGGAAAGGTTTATTCACTTTATTTTAAGTCTCAGTTTTTAAATGAGGAAAAATTTATTTAATCAACACGAAACACAATGTACAGGATTTCCAAAGAGGCACGAAAGAGGTGAATTTCAGAAAAACTAAAGTATTCCGGTTTTACGTGGCCTGCGCTCAATTCTTGTTTCCCTTTTTTCCTCCCATCGTGGGTCGTAATATTCTGAGGTCTGTTCTTTTATTTTGGGTGACTTCAAATGGATTTCCATGGCTTAGACTTGCAGACCTGAATTGTTCAGGTAGGATTCGTAGTTTATATTTCCTGTCTTGGAAATAATCTGATATTATCATTGTTTTTCCAGAATTCAGTGTATTCTTGTGTGGTTTCTTGTTGATTTAGCAAATTGCTATACCATTTTCTTCCCTCATTTCCACCTAACGACTGGTTTGAGTGTGTTGGCTGGATTGTTCAAACACTGGGTTTGTGTATTTAAAATATCAGTGATGGTCCAAAAAACTCCAGTGGGGGCAGAGGCCTGAGGGCAGTGAGTCTAAGCTGAGGCCCCCCTGGGCCTGCAGAGGGAAGGCCTTGAAGGCCCAGTTGCTCTTCCTGGGGAGCCTCCCCCTGCAGCTGTCCTACTGCTCACACCACCATGGAAGGAGCCTTTATCCTGAGAGGAGCTGTAGAGCCCTGGAAAGCCGGGTATGCACGTGCTCATGGGGTGGGGAGTGATGCCCTTCTGAAGTTGTTGCTGTGGTTCCCTTGGGCCTGTTTCTAGACATAATTGGAGTTTTGCATCCACAGTGTGGGTGCACGCAGGGAGTAATTTGTTTACACGGAGAAAGTCTGTCAGAGTCAGGAGCTATGTGTCCTTGATTAGGGCCCATTAATCTGGGGGTCCGTTTGGGTCAGAACCTTAAACTGGATCCAGCTGAGTTTCCTCACTGTGAGAATGGGAGCCTAAGAGAGGGAGCATGTGCAGTGTTCCCTGTGGAGAGGAGGGTGTGTGGGGCTCCCAGAGCTCCTTCTTGTGGCTGCTCAGGTGCCCTCCCCTCCTTCTCCGAGGACTGACCCCCTCCAGGGCTCTGTCTCCACCAGGAGAGTCAGGAATGTGGGACCTCTGACTGTGGCTTTCCTTCTGTCCTGTGGGAAGCAGGCTGCTCATCTGAGCTGGTTCCAATGTTTGTGTTTCTTCCCTTTGGATTCCTTTATCGATGGACTAGTGCAGCCCTTTGGCTCTCGTTTCCCTGGGCAGTTTGGGCCCTGAGACTGTAAGTTGATTGAGGAATTTGATGTGAGGAAAGCAAGAAAATTTTTTCATTTTCAGGTTGGTATTTTCTATGTGCATGTCTCTAGAGAACGTAGAAAATTAAAAGGCTAAAGCAATTGAAATTCTGTTTTATTCCATGTGAGGAAAACTTCTGAAATGTTATGTAAATCTTTGAAAATCTAAAACAGTTAAGGGTTTAAACTCAAACTACGATTGCCGTATAATAGGCCGTTATTCTTGAAAATAGCCGAGTGTGAGCTATAGAGGAAGCACAAACTAGGATGCCACAGGTCCTTTTACTTAGAGATTTCAAAATTTAATATTGTGTGATTTACACTTTTCTCAAAGTTAGTCTTTAAAGGAATTAAATCTTAGAATAGCGTCCTATGTACAAGAGTTAAAATTAAAGGATATAAATTTGTTTATTTGAAATAAATCTGTAAGATAGCAAAGATACAACCTATCCTGCTCCCCTCCATCCCAGTTACTCTGGGCACCCCAAATACACAGTTTTGATCATTTTTCAGCCCTGTTAGTGTTTCTTTATATAAATCAGTCGAGAATGCATATTTTTCTTACCCACTTTGCCCTTGTAGTGAGCAGTCAGACTCCAGATTTTTGGGTGACTTCTCACAGCTTAAGCCCCACCCATCTTCCTCCCCTTGTGCTCCCACCTGGACAAGCTGAGGAGGAAGCCTGGGTGTTCTCTTCCCTGGAGCAGGCAGGAGAATCCCACCATGCCAGCCCCTGCCTGTGTGCAGAGCTCTCGCCCCAGCCCCACCCCCACCCCCAGGGCCAGTGAACCTCCAGGCCAGGCTCCATTCCTTGCTTTCTGAGCCCTGTGAGAGCTGCTTGAGAGGCTGGCCCTGCCTTCCCCTCAGACCTCTGTGATGTGAGTCCTAAGCCTTGTCCTACCCTCTGTGTGTGTGCCACCCTGGCCTGAGTCTCACCAAGGGAACCACCCTTCTGCAGGTGACCATAATAGTTGGCTCCCTGAGCCGCATATGGAGACATGACCCCAGCTGTGGGTTTGTCTTCTCTTGCTCTGACTTTGCTCCCCTGCTCTGCTGCCTGGCGGCAACATGGGCTATTGTCTCCTGCTTGCTGGGGACAATCTTGTGACACAACAACAGCTTTATTTCCTGCTTCCTAATGTTTGTCCCTTTTATTTCCTTTTTGTGTCTAATTGCCTTAACTCAGAATTCCAGTACAGCTTGACTCGGAGTGTTGGCAGGGGACGTCCTTGTCTTCTTGATGTTACCAGGCAGCATCTAGTTCTTTGAGTGTGGTCCACTATGATTAAACGAGAGTCCAGTAGATGTAGAGGTCGGTGTGGACAGAGGGGAAGCATTCCTAGTCGGATTTTTGCTCTCATTCTCTAGTGAGCCTGTGTCCCTGGGCCTGACCTTCTGTGGTATTGTAAGGGAGATATTTGTTGTTTGTCCTCAGTTCCTAGTAAAAACCTCTTGATGCCCTTGGATTTCTTGAGTGAGAAGGGTGATGGAGTGTCTTTTGTTTTAATGAGACAACTCTTGGCCAGCTCCTTGGTGGCTTCAGATTGGGGGTTGGACACCAGAAACACCAAGCCTTGATTAGATTCTTTCAGCCCCAGCTCCCAGCGTCTGTGGAGAGCAGAGGAGCTGGAGACTGAGCTAATCACCACTGGGCAATGATTGAATAAATTGTGCCCGTGTAATGAAACCTCCATCGGAAACCTTACAGACAGAATTCAGAGGGTTTCTGTGCTGGTGACCACATCAGGTGCTGGGAGGGTGGAGTGTCCAGAGAGGATGTGGAATATCTGCCGCCCCCTCCGCCTCCACTCCTCTCAGCCATGTTCACATTTCCAGGAGATGTTATGGACGCCGCGGTAAAATGTGGCAGCTTTTGTTCCATCAAACAACAATGGAAATGCAAGCTTGTTCCCTTTTGTTTGTAGTAGTTTGTGTTTTATTAGCAGTGTAGAGATTATGTGATTTGATAATTATTGGTATGTCATTTGATTCCCTGCCCCCATCCTCCCCCCATGATGCAAATGAAGGAAGTTAGGCCCGTGGTCTCACTCAAATTCACATACCTCATAACAGTGGAATCTCTTAGTTTGAAGGCATAATGTGTGCCCTTCTCCTGGGCAATGTCAAAAGTTTCAAACTCACAGAATACCACAAATTTTGTATAGTTAATGCAATTTTACAAATATGGCATCAGTTTCCAAACAGGACTCATAAGGCAAAATGGTACCCACTTGTGTGACATTCTGGATGAGGGAAATGCATAGGAACCTGAAACGGATCAAGTTTTAAGGATGACAGGTTCAGTACAATGGGCAGCATGAGCCTGTTCCTCTGGGGTGAAGGAGTGTCCTCCATCCTGATGGTGGTGTAACTGTACATTCAGGAAAACTCACCACTGCTCTTTGTATGTGAATATACTGAAAACAATTAATAGAAAACAACAGAGATGTTCACATGCTAGGAGAACGTGAAACTCTCCTGAACTTTGCTACGTGTGCAACACTTCCTTCCACCACCTTGGGTTCCTTCTTCGGAAGGAGTGGAAGGACTGGGAAGAAGGACATAGGCCACTATGGACTGTACCTGGTACCCAGTCTGAATTAGAAAACTCCCTCTAGGGCTACACCTGCCCTTGTGTCATTCACATAACTGGTGAGAAAGTGATGGGGCTCCCGGCCTCCATCTTTCAGTTGACACTAGGTTTCCTGCGTCATAGCCTGGCAATGTGGTGGCGTGAAACGTAAAGCTGGGCCTGACACAACTCCATGTGGGATCTGCCTGGGCGCATCCTCGTCTAACCCTTGGGCATCGACATCATGTCTTCCCAGAGCAGGTCTTGAGGCCCTTTCCACCTCTGAAGATTCCCATTTGAAGCCCAATTGGTGTCTCCTTGCTGGGAAACATG